GGTGCATTAAGAACTGATTGTAGCGATGCATACACAACTCTTTAAAAGTAGCTTAACCATGGAAGTATATTATATGTGAATTTTAAATCATTAAGACTTTTTTAAGTGGTGTTATTTGCAAAGTTTTATATAGTTAGATTTGTTATTTAAGGAGCGCTAGTAGTGCTACTGGGTAAACATTTGAATGCTGGTTGAAAGGTCAGTGGTTCGTATCAAACAGACATTCTGAGGGAAACTATGAGGCTACGTGCTCCCATAAAGATTTATAGCATCAGAAGCGCTACACAAGGTCATTATGAGCAGGAACTAAATGGGTTTGATTTGACGGTAGATTTGTTTATGTATCCTTAAAATTATTAAAAATAGAATATTTATATCTCTCCTCCCTCCATCATCTTATTTATTAGTTTGCAGGAACGAAAATGATTTTAATTATATTCCATCTGAATTTAATGATGATCACATTAAATATATATTTATAAGCATAGACATACATATATGTGACACTTTGAACTCTAATGGCCAATAACCAGACAAATTGTAAGATGACATATAAGTCATGATACAGAAGAAAGGAAAAAGGCATTAAAAAGATAGGAAAGAATAAAAATCCCCAAATGAACATCAGAAGAGATTAGAAAACTTGCTCTTAAATGTGGAATAGCTACTGTAAAAGCAAGCAATGAGGAAGTAAAGGAGCTGAACAAAATAATTCAAGGGGCAGTCCCAGAAGACAAAATAAAGTGTTGTACTGAAATGTATAAAAATCTGGAGTTAGAAAAGCAAAAAAGAAGAACATTCAATATTTTTAGATATTTTTGAATTGAATACAAAATTCAAGCATAAAGTAACAATATTGAAGGTTTTATGGTCAAGATATTTAAAAACATAGAAGTGTCAAAATATTGAAAGAATAGAGTTACTGTATCAAAACTAATTTGTAGCTGTTGAACCATTTAGAGGGGTAGTATATGATCATGAACTGATATTATTGAAGGACAAAGGTAAATATCTGTTGATCAATATCATTAAATTCACCCACACTCAAATCACACTCACTGTCCCTTAGTCAATTCGGACACATCACACCTAAGTAAAATTATTCTGAAGATACTTTAAAAAATAGTTGTCGCAATACATTTACAGAAAACTACCAAAAGTTCAAGCTAGATTCAGAAGAGAACATGGAACAGGAAACATCATTGTTCATATTAGATGGATCTGGGCCTAAAACAGAGAATGCTAGAAAGATATTTACCTGTGTTTCACTGGCATTCAACTTTGTGGATCATAAACCCATTTGTGAAGAATGGGAATTCCAGCATACCTCACTGTGTTCTTGCAGAATGCTAACACAGATCAAGAGGTTGTTGTTGAAATTGAACACGGAGCTATTGCATGGTTTAAAATTAGGAAAGGTGGGCATCAGGGTTGTATGCTTTTACCATCTTTATTCAATCTCTACACTAAGCAAAGAAGCCAAGAAGCTGATTGGAAAAGGCTGTGGCATCAGGTTTCAAAGAGACTCACTGGCAGTTTTCAATAGAGAGATGACACAACCTTGCTTATTGAAAGAAGGAGACTTGATCTTCACCATTACAATCTTTTATATGGATTACACCTCAACATAAAGAAAAAAAATTCAGTACTGGACCATTAAGCAACATAATGAAAAACTCAGAAATCACTGACGTTTTAAAATACACAATCAGTGCCCATGGAAGAACAGTCAATAATTCAAAAACATCTCTTCAACGTGTTCAAAAGTGCGACTTGAAACACCACGCTGCGTCATGTCTACCTCTGTTTGGATCACCTTTCCTTTTACTGGCTGTGGATACGGACATATTGGAGTCCACAGGCTAGGTAGCTCTCTCCTAAATATTTTGGCACAAATGAGTGAGCACTTCATCAATTTGCTGAAACACTCAAATGTGTAGGCTGTGAATTCCTGGAACCATATTTTTAGCCAATGCCTTCAGTGCAGCTTGGAATGCATCTTTCACTTGGAAATTTTAACAGTTCAACTAAAATTATTATTACTACCTGCCTATGAACTACTTCCCTAAGACTGTTGGGCATATTGTGCCAAATTTATTTAGGTATTGAAATAGGATTGTCTAACTATATAAAATAATTTTCATCCTCTAATGTAATAAAAGCATTTCTGCGTTTGATACAGAAAGCATTTTAAATGCAAATGACCTGTAACACTGTGCTTTCCTAATGGGACTCATTTTGCTTCCTTGATATCATGGTGTAATGCTTGTACCAAGTATAGGCAATATACCTGAATTTTGACCCTTCTTCTCTAGGATTTTAACTTTCTTCATCATGTACAATAACTCAGATAAGAGAAATATCCATCACAAATTTAATTATTGAACATCAAGTTTGATCCACACCCGCACTAAGTGAGATACTGATGCCACTGCCATGCAGCTAGAGCAAGTTAGATAGGTTATTTCAATGGAATGTAACACCTGACAAGTGATCTGCAGTTTACTAAATATATTTCTAATTAACACTAGATAAGAATACTACTCCGTATCCAGTAGTAGGTACCATCCTAATTGAGTAGACAACATTAAATTAAATGTGTGCAGCATGTTAAGCCAATGACAGCAGGAGACAACTCACGTTGCCTTGGCGGCTCATTCAATTGCTCGGTGGGATCCAAGTAACTAACGTAAGTACAATACATCAGCAGAGGAGAGCAGAAAACCGCTGGAACAAGAATAATGAGAAAAGAACAAACCAGAATTGAATTGAAAAGCACGCATAACCCAGAACTAGAGATTAAGTGCGCGCGCGCACACACACACACACACACACTCACACACACACACTCACACACTCACAGCGCCCTGAAAGGAACTAAGAAATGAAAGCAGAGGAAGAAACAGTCATTAGCAAAGTCAGAAAAGTCATCGGAAAAACAACAAAAAAAGACCAATAGAGAAAAATCTGAAATATTTCTCAATTGAAATAGAAAACAAATGTATTAGCACAAAGGGAAGGGTAGCAAAGATGCTAAAAATAGTGAAACAAGCTATATTGGGAAAAGTTATTGTCTTAAACAGATGAATCAATTATTTGCTATACGTTTGCTTGTTTGTCTATTTATATATTTAATCTATGCTCCGCTCCAAAAAGTTTTAAATAAGCTTCCAAAATAAATAACAATACTAGACAAGAATGAGAGAAGGAAAACTGAGGATGAGAGAAGAGATGGAGTGAGGGAGTGTTAATACTAACTGACAAAATGCATGCCTCATGATTCTCTTCAGGTTTCCCATAGCGGAACAAGAAAATAGCATCATTTACGGGCCAAAAGGTTTCCAGGGACCGTAAGAAAAGCAATGCAGCTGCTTACTCAAAACACCTGAGCTGTGTAAAAGAATACAGTGAGAAGAGTGGATCATTTTACAAACTTCTGGTCTGTGTCAGTTGAAGATTTCTGGACTTTCGCATCTGTTTCTGTATTGAGTAATTTTGCTTGTGGTGTATACGAAAAAAGAATCCAGCATCGTACAAATAAAGTTAGAAAAGGGAAAAAAAAACAAAAACAAAAAAAACACACCTGAGCTGTGACCTCAGTGCAATGTGTGATATATGTTGTCAGTAAAAAGGTCAAAAGGTAGTAGATGACATTCTCAATGTCATTTAAACAAACAATACAATATTGAATTCTGAGTGGTTTCTTTCCATAATTCCTCTCAGATCAGCACAAATCATAACTGGATAAATATTTCAGAAAAGTCCATTATGCAAATCATCCCAATAAGCCACTCTCAGATGGTCTGGCTTATCCAAGAGCAAAACTGAGCATTTTCAGAGGACATCCTATCCTTTGGCTAATCCTTAATGAATATTATTTTCACAACAATTAAATCATGCTTGAGAACGTCTTTCATATTTTAAAATATAGTCATTATTTACCGAAGGATAATTTCTGTCTTTCATATTTTAAAATATAGTCAGTATTTACCCAAGGATAATTTCTGTCTAGAACATGTAGTCAATTAATGGCCTATTTAGGCTAAACTAGGCTGCTCATGATTAAACACCCTCCATTGAACTTATTTTATGTGGCAGGTTTCTCTTTTCTTCTCTGGGGAGAGTTCTTCTATTTTATAAAATGTGAACTAACATTATTCTCAGCTCCAGCTCCCTAGGTAGCTGTTTAGAACAGATTTTGTTTATAGGGTCATACTGAAAAAGCTACAACCTTGGAGAGATTACAAGAATGCCTTACTCTATTTTACTAAAAATAGGAATCTGAATTCAAAATCCTAAGAATGTAGCTAATAAGTAAATGTTTTTCATTATACAGAAGGAAGCAACATTCTTAACTTAAAAGGAGTGGAGAATTGCTCTTAGTAGATTTGAACTCTCGCAACCCTCGGGTCAATGCTGACTCCTAGGGACCTCCCTGTGTTTCCAAGACTGTAACTATTTACCGGAGCAGAAAGGCCAGTCTTTCACCTTCAGAGCACCTGGTGGCTTCAAGCTGCAGAACATTAGGGTCGCAGCCCAACAAGCAACCACTACACCAAGTCTTAGGATGCCAAGAGTGTCTGACCGGTGAAAGGCTTCACTAGCTTCTAACCTGGTAGCTGAAAGGTGGCGATATAAGTCCACCCGTAATGTGCTTGAAGGCTTGGTGATCGACTCCCTCAAAATAAGCCATGGAAAACCCTACAGACTACACTTTTGCCCAGACACAAATGGAGTCACTGTGAGCTGAAATCCAACTGAGGACAGCTAGTGTGGAGATGTAGTAGTGTAATGACTAAACCTGAATAAAACAGAAATAACTCCGTAATAGCAACAGAAGCACGTAAGCTCTAAAGTACCAAAGGGACTTAGGAAGGTGATTCATCCTAATGTGTGCATGTAGCACACCAGGACTTCAGTAGAACACATTTTAAGTGTCGTCCGACCGATGGCCTTGAAAGACAGCACAGCACATGAAGTGAAAGGCAGTAAACCATTACCTCAAATCAGCAGCTTTCCCCGTCTTGTTAGTACACACAACCTCCCTGGTCTGATATCCAATCTGGATGTCCCAATATTTGTTCTCTTGTCTGTTCTGTCGGTTCCTATTTCTCTTCTTCTTAATAAGTTCGCGGGCCTCTGGGTCCTTTACCCCTTTTCCTCGGTCCCTGTCCCGTTCTTTATTTTTCCCACGTCTCCTGGCTTGTCTGACTTGTCTCGAGTGGGCCATTGAGCACGTGCTCCAAGGACCAACATGCAGGCTGTACATGCTCTCTTCCTCTTCACACGGACCAGTCTGACACAGCTGAAACTCCGTCAGGTTTGGACAACCGGAGCCTCCAAACTGAGGAGGTGCCACCACATGACGTGTCCTGTGCTGGAGCCCACTGCCACAAGTCTTGGAGCACTCCGACCAGGCAGAAAACTCAGACACGATGCAATCTTGCTGGCACGGGATAAGGCAAGCCTGTTCCAGAAGAGGCTTGGGCTCAAAGTACTCACAAATGATATCCTCGGTGGGAATGTTTCTGTCTTTCTCAATGCATGTTATCTCTCTCACTTGAACGCCTTCTTCCCCCTTCACACATTCCATGGGTTTCTCCAGGGTTTTTGAAATCACAGGTTGACATTGGTTCCAGGGGCCCAGCCTCCAGTCGTACAACTCTTTGTGCCAGTCACAAATTCGGAAGCAATGTTGCTGGTTATTTGGTCTCTCTACCTGCTTACAGTTGGTGTGCAATGTCGTCCATCCTTCCACATGGGCGCACCACACAGCCCTGGTCTGAATCCCTCCTGGACCACATTCGTCTCCCATGCATCGACCCCATGGACCTACAAAACAAGACAAGAGTTACTAGGAGAAAACGCTACTAGGAGAAAACCACAAGTCACTTCATATTCCAAAGGATGTTTCAAGATCTAGTACATTAACGTCCCTAAAGTGCAATAAAGTAGGTCTCTGTACATGGCGGTGGCAAAGTAATGATCAGGACTAAGTATTTTTGCAAAAAGGGAACTGTGTCAGAGTCTATATAAGGTAATTGCTGGGATAATTTCACTTTTGGTCCTTTGGGGATTACTAAAAGTTTGCTTTTATTCATTCCCTTTATTTTAGGTAGTTAGAGGAGGCTTGCTCATAAAAGACACTGTGAAGACCCATTACTCCTGTCTCAAACCCACCAAATCCATTTCAGTAACTGCCAAAGGAAATAG